CCCTGAAGACGTCTAATCTTGAACCCGATGTCTTCATAAGAAATGTAGCCCTGTGTCTTAGCTTCAAAAAAAATATAGAAATGATCTCAATCTGATTTGTATAGCCCTAGTTATGATCAGAATACCAACACATGACAAAGTTATCACCTATACATTTTCTCTTTAGTATTTCTTTTCTTCACTTTTCTTGATTCCATTCATTTTTCTTAGTTCAAATTAACATTTGTACTCCATATTACACTCAAACCCTTGTACTTGACGTTTCTTTGGATTTAAATGAGAAACCTTAATATTCTTTATTATGCTTAATTCTTGACCCAGAACTTGATTTCTCATGGTTCATTCTTACTTTTGAACTTTGAATTTGAAAAGGTTTGATTCAAGGCTATAACGACTTGTTTTATTCTTTATTATACATTTGAAAATTATATACCAACCTCTTGTTTCTTCACTTCTTAAGTGCGAAAACCCTAAGGTTTTGCTTTTCACTTTCATATAAACTTGTTGGTTCTTACCTCAGGACTCGAGGGTAATCAAGGGTGTTATCCAGGAACCGAGACATATCGCACATAACAGTGAGTGTTCCTTACATGTGTGTGTGACTTGAATAGTTTTGCTACATGTTTACTTCATATTTCTTGTGTGTTTAAGTGTTAAGTACTCCTTATAATTGCTCCTATGTAATTTTTCACCGTTTTAAGGTGAGTGTGTACTTTATCATACTCGACCTACTAAAATAACAAATTTCTACTGTTTAACTGTGAATTTCTACCGTTTATCGGTTTATTTGATTATTTGCACATGTTGTAAGCTCTTAGCTGAACTAGGCCCTACCCTTGGTTGCTAACCTGCTCGAGCCAGGACTAGACTCGGTTGGGTAGGTTGGAAACCTGGGTCACCGTTTCAGTATACTCGAGTATTACCACTGGAGGAATAAGGTGATGGCCAGACAAACCGAGAGAATTATTGGAGTTATAAGGTGAAGCCGACCAAAATAGTTCCACATGAACACCATATTCTTTTAATGTGTGTTTATTTCTGTAAAATGATAAATGCCTTATTTTAATGTGTCAATGTGAAACCTTGACCCATATGTGCGTTATGCTTAATTTACTTGATTTATTAGAACTGCTTGTGTGTTTTGGAATCTCACTAGGTTGTTTAGCTCATTTCACTCCTTTGTTTTCCTCAACAGGGTTCAAGATAGAGAGTGCTCATGAATAGCACTACGTTATTTTCTTTTGGAGACTTGAAGTTGTATTATAGCAAATGACTGTAGTACATATTCTTTTAGGTTGTATTTAAGTTTGAAGGTTAACTAATTTTAAGTATGAAATGTTTTGGAATACTTTAAATGTTTATTGAAAATATTTGAAGTATTTCTAATTTTTAAATTATGGATTGTAGTGAGCCCCGGCGAGAGTTAGGCAGGTGGTCCGCCGAACCCTTTTGGTTCGCCTTAGGGGAGGTGGGGTCATCACACCCATTGCTAGTTTATTGCGTTCTCCCTGATTTGTAGATATTTTCACTTACTGAATTTTAGACACTCACGCGAATATTTAAAATTTTGGACATGTATGGAGAGTTTTAGACATGTCTGTGACTTTCAATGATGCTACTATAGTCCCTAAATTGATTTTGTAACAAAATTAATCATACATACAAAATAAATAAATACAAGCATGGTAATCTACTTGACCCTAGGCATACTACAACTTGACTTTGCTATACAACTATAAGATGAATATTTTATACGAATTTCGTGCTTATTGGTAGTTCAAAAAATGCAGACCAGTCCTGAGTTTGGTAAATTCAAAAGCTTGAGTGGGTGAATAATACAACTTGAAGGTTTTTACCATTCTGCTAGATGAAAGGCATCCTCAAAAGCTTTCACAATTATAGCTGTGTAAAATGATTAGGGCTGTCAATCGGGTCTAATGAGCCAAGCTTTCATAAGCTCGAGCTTAGCTTATTTAATTTGTAATATTTTCGCGTTAAGGATTATGAGTTTCGGGTTAAAAAAATATGAAACTCATACTCAACTCACATAATATTCGGGTTGTGAGCTTTATTTGGGCTTAACCCAAGCTTACTTTTACTCTTAATTTCATATTTTAATATAATTACTATAACTATTAAGTTGTAAAACTAATTTAACATTTATAAGGCTACAATATTAAAACTAAACATGAACAAATAATAATTCTTAAAAAGTATATAAACCAAAAAATTTTCAACAATATTTATATTTAATTCGTTTAAAATACATGAAAAATAGTAATAAAACATGCAGTCATAAGCCAATATATCTTTGAAAGTTGAAACTTTTTTATAGCCTTGTAATTTGAATCCAAACATGCTTGATGATTTGTGTTTCTAGACCAAAAAGAAATCAACCAATATTATGCCGATACAAAAATTTACTCAACCAATAAGAAAAGTCAGAGATTCAATTATGCATTACTAATATTGGCTTTCAAGAAAACTCATAGAAGAGTCTTCAAATGTATTTTTATATTTTGTAATTTATATACTTTTAGTATTTAGTAATAATATATTTGGATATATAATTATGCATAATATCAAAATATAAATATTATATATATATATATATAGGTAATTAAAGGGTCGGACCTATATCGGGTTTGAACCTAATGAGGCCCAATCTCGGTTCATATTTAATTCGGTCCTAATTTTTAGGTTCAACTTTAAACCGGCTCATTAAAAGGTCTAAATCATCGGATTTTTTATCGGGCCAAACGAGCCAATGTCGGGTTCCCCAGCCTCATTGACAGTTCTAAAAATGATGTGATCAATTCAAATAGGTCTCTCTAGCTTGCACAGACCAGTAATGTATAGACAACAGAAAGTAATCTAGTGAATTATGTCTTCCCATTTTAGATTTTCAAACATCTTGAGATATGGTGCACAAAAAAAATCCTGGAATACTCTACTTGAATATGAGTGTGTAGGACCTGCAACAGTTTATATTGTTACCAAAATAGTGGCCAGAATGGTACATACTATGAAGTCTTCGTATAGGGATGCCAAAAAACCTTAACAGAAAAAAATTCAAATTCCATTATCATCGCTTCAAAAAGTTGATACCAATTAACATAGCTACTAATTACTAAATCATAATCAGTTTCCTTCATCATCTCAAAAGTATGCATGATAGGAATAGACATTGGACTTGAAAAACCTGAAAAAACAGAGGGAGAAAAGTTACCTCAGAAAATTAGGGAAATTAACCCAAGAATGGCTTCACTTGGAAATTTCGGGTTTAGAATTTAATACCAACATTAAAGATATGGCTGTCTAGGTGTTGTGTTGAAACGCAAATTATTGATAATAGTTTTACAAGTATGGCAGACAATAACAAAAAGTAATAAAAATTACCGATCATAACAGTTAATACTATTGGGTAGATCAAAATACAATTTCAGAGTGAAGAAATCCATTACTATAATCCGTAAATAAAACCTATGGAGTTGCAATATCATTGGACTACCTGTTTGAGGTTCATCAATCTACGAGCATTCCACGTTTAGCCTTCCATAAGCGAAAATCATCACAATTGGCTTTTCCATGTTTTTCCTCAATTAAGCAAGTTTGAAATAGCCATTCTTCATAGCCATCATCAAGCATAAAGTACCCGTATAACTTGGGAAATTCTCTCAAGATTTCAACAAATTCAGGTGCCAATTTAGGTGACCATTGTTCGCTGGGGGCATAATAATATCCCAATTCAAAGAAATACCAATCGCAGTAATAAATATCATATTTAATTTCCTCCCGATCCGTGGCATCAGCATCAAGGTAGAGCTTCACACATTCTTCCATCACTGGCTTGAGGATAAGGCGGTCTTCATCCGATATACCTCCAATTTTGTCGTTTATACTATAGTTACGTACAGGGACGAAATAATCTGGTCTCATCTTGAGCTTGAGCTTATGGGGCATGATTTCGTGCACAACTTCCTCTTTTAGCTGATGAACATAATCTGGTGTCAATCTGCCATTTTTTGAGAACTACGAGGGGATCACTGCGCGTTGCGCGGTATTAATTTCATGTTGCCCAGAAAATGCCCAAATTTTCAAGTGGAGATATCATAAATCGTATGCATTGCATTTAAGTTATTTGGTTATAAAATGATTAAGCTTTTAAATAAGCAATGTTGTAAGAAAATGCGAGTAAATAAAGGTTTGCATCTAACATGGTGTCGAGAAAAAGATCGAAAAGAAAATAATTGAGGCGAATAAAATTGAAGCTTATCAGTATGATTTTGCTTCATGTAGAGATGGGATGAAGTGTTGGGAAAAGTAAATGAGAGATTCAAAAATATTAAACAATGAGTAAACACTATTAATTTTTTCTATTATTCTGTGGAGGATTGATTATCGGTGGTGTTTTTAAATTTACAACGAGCATTAATTTTGATGTTGTTCAATCATTTCTATGTTGTTTATCCAATTCTTTGCATGTAACATGAAAATCGGAACAACTAATGCAACAACTCTGGTCAGGAGAATGGAAGTGTGATACATGGTACGAAGTAGGTGTACACTGAGAATGAAGGGGATTCATATTTCTGAAAAAGGATCCTCCGTGCAACAATCTATCTTCACAGTCAAAGGAAACGTTTCCTAACCGAAGTTTATTGTTGGGAGAATGAAATAACCAATTGACAAATAGAAAGGTGGAATTCTTGGCGCACTTGAGTTTCATGCCATAACAGGCCATTTATGTGAAATTAATTACTGATTATGCGGAAAAAGGTAGCAGGAAAACAGTGAAAGCATGCAAATTGCCTAATCCTGGCCATCTAACTTGCAAATTGTTGGGATGACAGATGTTGAATTATTTGAGGCCATACATTTAGGAGGCATATAATTAGTAAAAAGAATTATTGAATTAAAGAGGTAAGTAAAAATTGCAATTCAGTGTCATTAAGAATACAACCCACTGTAACTAGACAAAATTAGGAAGTACATAATAGGTCCAATATACACAATATGATGCATTGAAACAAAAGTTGGTCACTATCTTTACAAACAAAACCTCTTATTTAAAATGTAAAAGGTACATAATGTCTACAATAATATGTATCCAAAAATGAGGCTAATAAATAATCACTGTAGATCCATGCAGGACAGACATAGAAATAATTCCAATCTTGATTCTAGGGGTGCATGACACTTCAATCATGATAATGCAAGGGAAACGGTAAGAGTTCTTCCACTCTTCAGGCTTTGACTCATTGCTAAGCAAAACAAGCCAAACAAATCATTAAGCATTCTCTCAAATAATTTATTTAATTTGAACTCAAGCCACACAATCAAATAACAGTAAGTATAAAGATATCTGATTGGGCCTAGAACAACAAAGCCTAAAGAAGTGTCAGATGTTTTAAATGAGGTCCTTTAATCTCCATATCTTGACTAATAACCTGCACATAGAACAGTAGAAACATATTCCAAGGAAAATGAAGAAAATTCTCTTAACAAATTTTGCAAGTCAGCAAAATGTTGAACTCAAAGTCATAGCTCAGAAAATCCTCATCAATCCATTTTAGCTGCGAGGAGTAAAGACAAGTTACATTAAATAGCTGTCAATGATACAGTCAACCAAACACAGTAGCTCTAGTATGGTAAAAGAATATTGAAATGGTCATATAATAGTGAATTTCCCAAAGAATAGGAAACTTAAATGACCAATGCCTATCTTAGCGCCAAGTAACCCAAGGGTCTTTTCTTGAAACTCAATCTCTAGCTTTTTCTTAACATTTTAGTCATTACAGTAATGACCATAATGATTTCAGTATCAGTATTTCAATTTGCACTTTTTCGCACACCTTTCTTCTTTTCTTTTACGTCCCTCCTCACACTGCCAATGCCTCTCATCCTTTTTTCAACAAGTTTATACCTATAAATATTGAAGTTCAAGAAATGAACCCAAAAGGTTAAAGATGAAATATACAAATTTATTACCAAGTAAAACTTACTCTAACAACAAAAGTGTAATCAATCTATAAAATTAATCAATGAAAAGAAACTAATGATTCGTTATTCAAAAGCCCATCAAAAGAAGATGACATTTTCACACTACAAAATAGTCTATCTAGATAGCCAAATAAGGAAGCTGACATGCTATGGAGTTCCAAATACGGATGTGCACAATATCTGCTCAACCAAGTCACCTAGTTTAAGGTATTCTCACCTATCAATTAAACAGAACCTCAATTAATTAGAACTTATACTATCATTAAAACCCAAAAAAGGAAAAACAACAATAAAAGGTGAACAAACACCTACTTAAAGGCTATCTTCACCATTTGTTTATTCCTGGACTACAAATAAAGATTGCTTCTTCCTGTAGTGGATACCAGAAAAAGAAGAAAGAAGAAAGAAAAGGTCAGAGATAAAAATCTGATGGGGAAAAATTTATCCCTGAGAAATTGCAATGGCAAAGTACCCTCGGTTGTGTAGACAATCATCTCTCTAGTCTTACTCTCAAACATATACTACTTTAGAAATATTGACTTGTCCTAAAAGATGCAGAGACAGAAATTGCATGAAGACCAGGTCCCATATTCAGTGAAAAAACAAGAAAAGAACAAAAGGATTCAACTTTTAACTGAGCAAAAAATGATTCCTGAACCAGCTTAGAGGTTTCTTCGGAAAATCTTTAAACTTCTCTGTAAAAGTGAAAGTGAAAAGTCTTAACCTCGACCCTTTTGTTCCATATTAGTTAATGTTATTTATCATTTAGCTTCTGATTTAACAGATGCACTTGATATAATTTTGGCAGATTTCATTTTGACAGGTAAAAGGATTCACTCAAAGCTAGTACTTAAGAGAAGAATATTAAAATCTAAAAACAAAAGGCCCAAAGTACAGTGAAAAAAATAGGAGCAGGAGTTTTACCACAATTTTTTGCCATCCTCCACAAATTTCTGTCATAGAGGGAAAGAGGGAAGGTCACAAATTGAAAAGGGAAACAAACCAGAGCAAAAAACTTGTGGGCTAAAAAGTTTCTTACCACAGAGGTTGTTCTTCCTTTTCTTCCTCACTCTGTAAAAATGCAAATTGTAATATGAAAGTATAAACAAAGTAAAAAGACGGGGAAAATCACAGATGAATGTGCGCCAAGAAAAGAAGTAATCAGTGTTTCTACAACAGGGGCTCTAGAATGCATAGGTGTTTTAGGGATTAAATGCTTCTAGAATGCTTTAAGAAACCACTATAACTCATACTTTCTGTCAAACAGCACCAGAAAAAATGTTTACAGAGGAAAACATTGATGTTCATGCCTATTTTTTAGCTAAAACCTAATAAATTCATCTTCCTTTCTATAAAAATAATAGTATAATCCAATAAAATAAAAGACAAAATAAAAACTTCAAGTGATTTGAGAGTAGAGACCGAAATTAAAAGGACAAAGTTTTTATCGGCAAAAAATAAATAAACAAATAAATCAATAGATAAATAAAGCAGAACAGACCTTTGGAGGACAGAAAAGGATGGAATATATCCACAAGTACTTGCATTTGCATCCCATAAAAGTTTTCATCTTTTTCCTGCAAAGATAATACTATAAAAATTAGGAAATCGGATAAATTAAACATAAGAGACATAAAATAAAAAAAAAATCTTAAGATATAAAGATTAGAAGATCAAAGTTCTTATCGCTAAGAAAATAATTGACTAACAGAGATATTAAACCAAGCTTTATTAATTTTTAAGCAAATAAAGACCATTGGAAGAACAGAGAAAAGTTGAGTAAATCTACAAGTTATTTGTAGCTCATCTCATCTAAAAAGATCAGAAACAAAAGCTAGAAAATTGAAGGTCATCTGTGGCTGTTGTTGACCTTAATTTTTAGAGAAAACAATACAGAAAAAATCGGAGAGGTATGGAAGAATTGTTGGTCTGCCGGTGAGTTTGATAAGAGAAGAAAGCAAGTGACAGGTATGGAGAGTGTTTACCAAGCCCTATTCGCAATCGTACAGAAATCAGAGGAGGAAGAAGATAAGAATTTTATGGCAGTAATCCTCGAGCCACTAACCAACCTTCAATTGATCTGATTTTCTGTGCTACTGCACGTCTTAGATTGGATCCAGTGGATAATAGGTTGAGCTCAGCAACAAACAATGGTGCATCTGTTTTTTAAAAAGAAGGGCAAAATCGTAAAACCATGGAAACCCACATTGAGCCCATCACTTTCGTCTCAGCAGGTCAGCACATTGAGCCACATTGAGCTCCGCAGGTCAGCTGGTCTTCATTTTCGTCTCTTGGACAAAAAACAGGAATTGCACTTCTCCTCCCAGCGGACAAAAGCAAGAATCCGAATTCTCCTCCCAGCGAAAGCACACGAGCCCCACGTGATGGACGATGACCCCCCAGCGAATGAAATGCAGCCACATCAGCACAACCACCGAATCCTTTCGTGCTTTTACTATATAGGTTGATGACCAGCTAATTAAATTGTAAAACTTGCCACAGCGATACGTATTCAGCTTCTTCAACCTAATCAGTTCATCTTCAAGAAGGTTCTCTGCTAAAGATGAAAAAGGATCGAGATAAAGATCCACACAGCGGTCCATCATCAGCTTCAGAATTCGACGGTCGTCAGCGGACAAAGCATTCTCATTAACTTGTTCACGAGTCTCATGACTACAACAAGAAATTGATCGAGACATAGATATTAGGATTGCTGCCAAGATGTAGACAATCATGGTTGAAAATCCTTCAACAGATTTCCCGTTGCCTGCGGCCATAGCTTATGGCTTATTTAAGAAAACTTGTGCTTTTCTTTTGAGGTGGTTCGGGGATGGTAAAGCTTCAATCAAGAAAAGTTGCTCTAGTTGATTTTAACTATGAATTCATTGACATCGACCTGGTTAATTTGTTACGCCTTATAGGATTAGGTTTGAGGTTAGGATTCTTTGGTTGCTTTTTTGTAATACAATTAATTGTAATTAGGAGGTAGGGGTGTGACATAAGAAGTACAAAAGCCATAGTACTCTATTTGAGATTAGGATTCTTTGGTTTAATTCATTTTTATTGGGATTCTGTTTAATTGTATTAGGATTCTTTGGTTTAATTGCATTACAGAATTCTGTTTAATTGGTTTAATTGTAGTACAGAAGCCATAGGATTCTGTTTGGATTAGGATTCTTTGGTTGCTTTCTTGTAACAGAATTAAGCCAAGTATAGGAGACAGGGGTGTGACATAAGAAGTAGAGAAGCCATAGGATTCTGTTCTCAATTATGTTAAGCGACATGTTATGTATTAAACAACTTATATAGATTTAGCCATGCTATCATTATCATTATCATTTCATTACTGCTATTACATATGTTATATAACTGCTATAAAAGTACCAAAATAACTTTATTTGGCAGTAACAAAAAAAGTCCTCATTATGCAACCTGAGAAGCACCGTATTACCGCAAAAAGTATTTATAACCCCTCATCAGTCACGTCCAAAGCCTAAAAAAACGCTTTCAACCTCACAATCAAAACATCAAATATTATGTTCACAGAATTTTCCTGCACATGAAAAACAGACAGAAACCGAAAACAAATAGAGGAAAATTTCAAAACAGGACAGCGAAGTATATACACAGACCACAGAAAATGAATAGAGATAGAGAATGCGAAACAACTACCAGACAGGTCAAAAAGAATCCATGAGAAGAAAAACACCATCAGCAACAATGTAGAAAATGATTGTACCTGAAAGTTATATTGTTCTCGTAAGAAAATGAAAACCTCAGCAATGAAGTAGGAGAAACTTAAGTGCATTTCAGGAAAAAGCCAATATACATACATACATACATACATATATATACATATATATTTAGAGCAGAGTGTGCAACACATTTCAGTTACATGAAATAAAAATGATTGTCATAAGGTAATAGGAAATGCCAATTGCACATCCCATTTCAGACCATAAGATTGACATTTATGTAATCAGAAACTAAACTCTTGCTCCAAATGCTCAGTTTGCACATAAAGCATTTAAGTTCAATTCCATTGTGCTAAGTGTTAACCACTAACCTGTGACTGACTTACAGCAGGAAGATTTAAAAATGATGCAAGAAACTTGAGTTTGGCAAGTTATATGCTACTATTTGAAGTCTGTGCTATGGATGATCAGTTAAGTTTATCCACATTCTCCATCAGCAGGCAGGCTGCTGCTGTACACAGATTTTGCTTTATGGAAGCCCATTCTAGCTGTCTTATTGCAGCTATTATTTGTGCAATCATAGGCATTGGAAGACTTAGAAGTCTGGCACCAAGTTATACTGAGGAAAAGTTTGCTTAGTCTCCAAGTCTATTGCCGTAGAATTATTATAGACTAAGTCTGTTAAGACAGCAAATGAAGGGTAGACAATGAACTCCCTATCTCTGAGGTGCAAAACTTGTAAGATATCTCCCCTTTCACCTACACCCCTCCTCTTTCGCTTGTTTAATTTTTGCTCTCTTTGTACTGTGCAAGTTTGTATTTCACATCACACGTTTCGGCAATATAAAGCCATAAAAAGCAATCAGATCACAGCATTCAAGCTTAACACTTTGAGCCCAATAAATTAGCAAATCTTAGAATTTTAACAGCCTCGAGGTCTACTAGATAGCTGCTTTTTGGCCAAGTTTTGGTCTGAACTTAGACCTCTTAACTTCCTGCAATTTGAAAAGTAGAACTCCATACCGAGTTTTCATTTTCTGCTTTGCAGGATGGGAAAATTACATTTTCAACAGCAATAAAATCAGAGGGAAATAGAAGTACAAAAACTAAAGAACATGATGATGGCCAGAAAATTAACAGTAGCTATCATTGGAACATGAAAACAAATGTACTTTAAAAGAGGTTCTACTTTCTGTAAGGTTATTTGTGCACAGCAATGCAAATATACCTGAACTTCTAAATTAAGATCCAAAAGCACTGCCGATGACTAAACATTCAGAATGTCATGGTTTTGGTACCAGAACTAATTTTTTTGACAGGCAGCCATTTTAAATACATGCTTAAGGCCATCCCATCAATTACCGACATAATTGTTCATTCTGCCAATTAAAGCAAAGATAGCTAAAAGGAAACACGGTGGATTTTTTATACTCTTGAACAGGTAGCATTCATTTTGTTCCCCATTTTCTTTTCTGTTACTTCAAATTAGTTCCTTTTTCTCCTTCTGTAATAAACACTTGATAACTTGCATAACCATATGAGAGTACTTCAACTATCACATAAGAAACAAATCAAGTGCAACGAAATCAACTCCAACGTCAAGAATTTCATCTCATATTGTAAAGCCCGCATACAACTGAATCTAGACGTTTTCTACTTCAGATCACAATTAAAATGCACCAAAACACTCCTATACCAATGACAAACGTAACGCTGGACATAATTCTAAACAATTTTAACTGATTTAAGCTCAGAATTTGGTCAAAATTTTGAAAGAAATTGCCGAGAAACATAAGACAAAATGCTTTTAGTTGTTCATTGTTATACATGAAAATCACCAAGAGAGCATTTTGAACATGATAGACTGTGAAATCGACCCCAAATCACATCAATAACCATAAAACTTATATCAGATGTTGAACATTTTCAGGCTTACATTTTTGGACTTTGGACTCAAATCCTTGAAGTTTACATCAGATGATTCCCTATGAGCCATGGATTCCAAAGATATCATGAATGTAACCTGAGACGAAAGGATGCACATTCCGAATTTCTATGGATTTTTTGTGTGGTCTCTCTTTTTTTCTTTTTTTTGTGGTGGGGGTAATTTTTCTTAAGTTGGGACAGGAGGATATCAGGAGATCACCGCCAAAGCTTAGATTTCTTCCCCAGCTTGAAGAAGAATCCACAATCTGCAAAGCAAAAAGGACGTTATATGAGCAATGCTGAAGTCACAGGTACTGCAGCTGATGGCCAGCGCAGAGCTTTCACTGCTACGGCAGATGAAAGTGATGAACCTGATGGTATTTGACAGTCAATGCCAAAGAGCACCCCTCAAGCACGTGTCCGATCTTTTGCGAGATTTAACACCTGGATATAAGAGTATGACAATAAATATTCATTTTAAATAGTTGAGTGACTATTTTAGCTACAAAATAATTAGGGATAATTGCAGAAACCTCCCCTGACTTTTATAGTAATAGCATTGACCTCCCCTATCAATTTTGAAATAGCACTGACCTCCCCTGTTAAAAGTTGGAGGCAATTTAATAGGCAAAAGTGGGTCAATTTATCAAAGTACCCCTGACATGATTTAATTTTACCAAATGAATGTAATGAGTACTTTCATCAAACCCATCAAAACATTTGTTAATAAAAATTACACTAAATTAACTATTTCTGCATAGTTTAACTAATTAACTAATTAACTAAATAACTAATAATCTAATTAACTATTAACTAATTAACTAATTATCTAATTGTTAATAGTTATTAACTAATCAAACTATTTCTGCATAATTAAACTAATTAACTATTAACTAATTATCTAATTAATTAATTAACTAATAAACTAATTTCTGTTTATCTAATTAACTAATCTTTATTTATCTAATTAACTAATTAACTAAATCTGTTGTCTATCCGAAACTAATAAACTATTTGCATGTTAAACTAATTAACTAATTAGCTACTTAACTAATTAACTACCTAATTATCTAATTAATTAATTAACTAATTTCTATTTATCTAATTAACTAATTAACTAAAGCTATTGTCTGTCCGAAACTAACAAACTATTTGCATGTTAAACTAATTAACTAATTAATTGCTTAACTAATTAACTAAAGCTATTGTCTATTCTAAACTAACAAACTATTTGCATGTTAAACTAATTAACTAATTAACTAACTAATTATCCAATTAATTAATTAACTAATTTTTGTTTATCTAATTAACTAATTATCTAATTATCTAATTAACTAATTATCTAATTATCTAATTAACTAATTAACTAAAGTTGTTGTCTATCCGAAACTAACAAACTATTTGCATGTTAAACTAATTAACTAATTAACTGCTTAACTAATTAACTAATTAACTAAAACTGTTGTCTGTTCGAAACTAACAAACTATTTGCATATTAAACAAATTAAACAATTAACTACTTAACTAATTAACAAACTAATTATCTAATTAATTAATTAACTAATTTCTGTTTATCTAATTAACTAATTAACTAAAGCTGTTGTCTATCCGAAACTAACAAACTATTTGTATGTTAAACTAATTAACTGCTTAACTAATTAACTAACTAATTATCTAATTAATTAATTAACTAATTAACTAATTTCTATTTATCTAATTAACTAATTAACTAAAGCTATTGTCTGTCCGAAACTAACAAACTATTTGCATGTTAAACTAATTAACTAATTAATTAACTAACTAATTAACAAACTATTTGCATGTTAAACTATATGCAGTACGCATTACTTATTTAAAGTATCGGCTCTTTATAGGTATTTTATTTTCAAACATTTAATTTATAATAAAAATATCAATGTTTGTAAGTAAAATTCAAAAATTGTTACAAAAAATATCAATATTCTTAATTTCAAACATTTAATTTATGGCCCTATGCCCCTCCCTTTTTGTAAGAATATTACTGTAACACTTTTTAAATTTTACTTACAAACATTGATGTTTTTATCATAAATTAAATGTTTGAAAGTAAAATACCCATAAAGAGCTGATACTTTAAATAGGTAACGCGTACTGCATATAGTTTAACATGCAAATAGTTTGTTAATTAGTTAATTAGTTAATTAGTTAATTAGTTAATTAGTTTAACATGCAAATAGTTTGTTAGTTTCAGACAGACAATAGCTTTAGTTAATTAGTTAATTAGATAAATAGAAATTAGTTAATTAATTAATTAGTTAATTAGTTAATTAGCTAATAATTAATTAAATAATTAGTTAATAGTTAATTAGTTTAACTATTAACTAATTAGATAATTAGTTAAGCAATTGTCAAGCAAGAAGAGGGCAAAATTGGAAGAAATTTCTTATCTCACTTCTACAAAAGCTATCAGGGAGGTTTTTGCAACAAATTGTTACTGTTTAGGGGAGGTGAATGCAATTTCTAAACCTAGAGGGGAGGTCAGTGCAAATGTCAGAAATCTCAGGGGAGGTTTCTACAATTATCCCAAATAATTATATAACCAAAACCACGACTTTTAAAAGTTGAGTAAGTCTGCCAGTGTTCTCTGTCAATACCTAAAGCACATAGTTTTCAGTCCCAAAAAGCTATATATTTTCCTATCAATGAAAAATTGGAATTTGATGGTGATATTGGCCTAATGGATTTTACATATCTGGATTTTATGCATTCTCAAAATTATAAAGTCCACAGCTGCATGGTATTTTCCAATGAAAAAGTTGTGTTCTTTCTTTTAATTTTCTTTTTTTATAAGTTAGAAACTTTTACACATTGATGAAACCAAAAATAGAGAAAGATTAAGAAAAGAAAGAACCATAACTTAATCAAACGTCAAAAGATCAATGACATAGCAAAGACAATTCTCTTGTATACTAATCGAGTCATGATTGGAAGCGATAAACCAACTTATTGCACTGGAGAATTGCCAATGGCTCATTTGTGTCAAAGATATATGCCAAACACAGAGGAAAACAGTTGCTGCAGACATCACAAATGTGCCCACACAATAAATGCCGAAGTTAAAATGTCATCTAGCCTAATATAATCCAAGGATTCTCTTAAAATGATGAATCAAATAACTTCTTTTAGTGAGAAATAAGTCAAGCAAATGAACAAAAGCATCCACACGCATTATAACAATGCAATCATCAAGAGTGGAATGGATACCTTAAGTAAATGCAATAACCTGTACAAATAAAGAGAAATAAGCATGAAAATGCCAAATAAAAGTCAGGAACTGGTGACATTGTGCAGCTGCGTCCGTCAAAAAAGATGCTATGAGGAGTCCAACTTGAAGTAAGTGACACATTATGTTTGGTAAATTGAATGTGTGATTCGATATATGTCCCTTCCTTGAGCAAGTCATTTTGGAAATTAGCACCCCAAATAATTCCAGCTTCATCTGTTATTTTTAACAAAAAAGTAGAATATGAAACCCAAAAAGGGACACATAATGCAACAGGCAGAAGCCAGTTGAATGCATCATTCATTCCTCATAATACTCACTTATTTTTCCACTATTCAAGAGCTTGTAGTTCAGGCCAACTACTAGAGTGGTGTTGTCAAAATCAGGGTGTTGGACAATTAAGTTCCACATCGAGAAGCTGAATTTCTCATCAAAGTTTATAATGGTAAGCTTAACTTGCCAATATTCCCTGTTATTCAGCTTCAAGTGCCAATGAACTTGAATAGGGCACATGTGATTTGTGCACCTCACACCAGAAGGGGATAATTTTGAACTGCATGCATAGAAAGAAATGATAATAACCCTGAAGGTCATGAGCAATAAAACCTCATTTTATGCCAGAAAAACATACTTTATGCATCTACTATCGTTTTCACACCCACAACTACATGATGGGCAGCGGCACAGGGTGTCACTTTGGAAAGATGAGAAAGAAACACAGCAACTTGGCCTTGCAAAATCTGCTTGTGCACATGTAATACTCCAGCTCACAGTCCAATTAAACGCATAAAAATGGGAAAAAAACATAAGCACCAGTGAAAGAACTATATCTATTACTGAAGGGAAATACTTTTGGGAAATTTCAATGCCCATTGACTGCTCTTGGGGCCAGAGGAAGATACTCCAACATAGATAGTTAGCTAGATATTACATTAGAAGTGCTGTGGGTGATGGAAATGACGCTTATGGTATGATCTTTGGCATCCCTCTGGAGTATTGTTGGACAAATATTCCATATGAATTATATATAGTTTTGGCAGCTCTTATCATGCAAAAGTAGCATCTATTATAGTAGCAGGAGTTGGTTATGGCCAAATGGTAGGACGACAGGTGAAGCACTTGACCTGATTCGGGTAACTACATTTCTGCCCAACTCTTCCAGGAAAGACTATGTTATCTGGTTCCAATCCTCATCTGGTCTAATTAGTATCAGCTCTGCTTCTAACACTATCCAGGATGTCCATCCTATAATGTGTTGGAGTAAACTTGTTTGGTTTAAAGGATACATACCCAGGTTTGCTTTTATAATTTGGCTAGTATGTAAAGGAAGACTTCATACTAGATCAAAGTTAAAAGCCTGGAGAGTTGTGGATGATGAGAATTGTGTGCTAGGTTCACAGTTGAGACCATTGATGACTTATTTTTTAGCTGCCCTTTTCCCTTTGCTGTATGGAAGGAAATCATGAATCTATGCAGTTTGCACAGAGGGACTTATCCACGGAATGTGAAGATGTCTTGGTTGTGTGCTCATATTATTCAGGACAATTTTGCAGGCTATGTTCATGGAGCTGCACTTGCAGCATCAACCTATAGTGTATGGAAGGTGAGGAATATGAGAATATTTCAACAGCAAGCTTGGATACCCAATCAAGCAGTGAAGCAGATTATATTTGATGTTCGTGCAGCAGTTGCAAGGAAAAGAGGTGTTCGAAATTTCAGAAAACAAAATGTAACTGAGTATAGCTTGGCAGTTTGGCCAATCTATCTTAATTAAGATCTTGTAAATCCTCAAAATGAATAGTTTTTTTGCTGTAGTATAGGTGTATATTATGATGTTTTCTGGCTTCTTGACCTTACACAAAAAAAAGGAACTATACATATGCAATAATTGAAGGAGAAGAAGACACAATGGTGGACAAAGATGCATAGTGACATAGCCAACTTTGGCATTATTCCACATGAGAAGTGGGAACAGGCAAAACAATTTCAACATTGTTCAGAGGGACTTACTTTTATCATGCCTCGACAGTTTACCATCTTGGCTAAAAACCTTAGTTGGTTTTCCGACAACAGCAGAACCACAGGAAAATTCATGCTCTG